ATCATCGTTAGAACCATTTTATGATATAGGCCTATCTTTAGTAGTCGATCTGTTTCCCAGAGCCTTCGTTAGTAATGTTACTCGTAAAAACTTTCAGCCAAAGTGCATTGTTAGATGTTTTTCGCCCTTCCGCGTCACTTTATTCACTGAAGATCTCCGATAAACATAGAATCAAGATGTTATTCTAGGTATCTGTCTGACCGCTGATAACTTCGGAACAAAGTTCACTGCAGATACAAAGTTGCCAAAGTATTTGCATATGTTACAAACAAGTGAAAGACAAAACGATGCTTCGAATGAAAACCGAGATGATTGTGTTAAAAGATAAATAGGCTACATGGGCCTATAGGCCTATATTTAAATCCTATTGAAATCATATCAAATTGTATTTTGCCACTAGGCTACTGTCTGTAATTTTTGCCTCAATGTGTTTCATGATGTGCGACAAGATGTGCGCAATGATGTGCCCAATCTGTGATTTAGTGCATCATTATTGGGTTAGCATAATAAGCCGCCTCAATATTTGCAGCCATAGTTGGTCATATCTCTCTAGGAGCTGATCCGTCGTCAGTATTGTGGAATAATTCTAATATTAAATATTAAATAAAAAGTGGAGAAGGCTGATCCGAGAGCAACGTTGCTTTTCTTTCAATCTTATCTATCAGTATCGACACACTAACGACGCGAGTTCTCTCTACGTGCTTGTTTGGGAAAAACACTTTAAAATGTGGCTCGTAAATAAAAGGATGCATCTGGTACGATCCTGGTCATTTTTAATTTACATCGCAACTGGGAAACGAGACCCAGGACATTTATTTTACAGGACTACACCACTATGTCAAAATAATTGGAAATATGGAGTAGTTTTGGGTAGCATTATTTCCTAAATATCACAATTTAATGCGGTTATTCTGTTTCAAATAAAAAACGTCTTAATCGTAGGCCAGATTATGGAAGACTGAATCTGAGGGACATTATGCAAACTGCTATGAAATAACAATTCGTCTATTTTTAAAATGGTACTAATCAAGTGGCTAATAAGCAAATCGATACCAAATGCGGATGTGTAAATGTGTGTAAGATATTTTATCTTTTGGTCAAAGTTAATTTATTTGGTAGGCCTATTTTGTTTTATAATGCATAGATATTCAATGTTCAGTAATCTTGAAAATAAAATGAAATTCATTAAATATCACATAATGAATCATACTAAACTATAAAAATCATATTGTGCACAGGTTTTCACAAACTAACGTTATAGTCCTATTTCTCTCCATGTGTTTGTGTTTTCTATTATCAGTGCATACAGCAATGCCCTTAGAAATAGAACCCTATAAATAGAATGAACTATTTCATTTCTAATCCCATCTACCATGGCATGAGAATAGCTGTTGAAAACACAGGTGCAAGCGGTATTTAAGCTGCTCATGGGTCTTTCTGCCCAGTGTGCAGAAGGCGCGAGGTCAGAGCGGTGCCCAGCACCCCACACCCTCCATTGAGCAGTAGAGAGGTGTGTTTCGGATGAACAAGCTAAAGTTGGGTTGCTTTCATGTTGTGCTTGTTTAAAAGGGGTTATGGAATGGTACTAATCGGCATTAAACCATTTTTCCCTGTGCTGACCAGTTTTAAAACGGTAAGCATCAGAGGAGCAATGATCCCATCTGCCTGTGGTTCCAAATTAAAGTTCAAACGGTTGGCTTATACACCACTGATCCTGTATCATAGCTTCTCGTGACCCCTCAATTACTATTTAATAGAATTACAGTTTTCAATCCCAGTAGTTTTAGAGAGGGAAGAATGTTTATCACGGGCCCTGCATGCCATGGAGACTACATCAGACAGGTGCTTTGTGGCATTCTGAGAACAAGTCATAGACTGCTCCCTTTTTAGTTTTGAACTGCATGGAAATCCCCTTTTCTCTCTCTCTCTCTCCCTCTCTCTCTCTCTCTCCCTTACTAAACACACACACATGCACGCACACACACATTTTTGTCCAAACCTAAAGTCAACCTTTCCTACCTTTTCTAATATGATCCTTTGAAATCCAACATATGCCTCGAATTCCTCGAAATATTGTGCAAAAATGCATGCTTTGAGCAACCAATGCAAATTCTTGGAATTGTAAGTAATGATGTCTCCACCTGTAGTTTCCAAATTGCACTTGAATAGACCTACACCCTAAATTGTTTTTTTTTAAATCAAAGTTTGCCTCTTGTCAATTAGTTACCTGTTGTCTAATAGACAATTGTTTTGTCTCTAAAATTGTGTTAGTATGGTGCAGTAGACCTGTAGCTTTCTCCACCAATATGAATATAGTCTACAAATTGTTTGTCCGACGTCTTACCTTTTTCAAGGCCTGCTTCAAAAGGAGGGAGCGTTTTTTTTTTTAAACCAAAGGACCGGGTTCTGACAAGAGCGCCTGCACTGTGCGCTGTGAGGCTGCGCCGCTGCTGCACACGCTGAATCCGGGTCAGAGGGAACTGCCGCTCTTTGAGAGCTGCATGAATACACACGAATAGAAAAGTTGTGTTCAGTTAAGCGATTAAATCAGAGAAAAAACGGAGCAGTGCAAGCTTTTCTCACTGCAGATCAAGGCCAAATAGTTTTGGGCTGCCTCTATGCTTGCAAGGTTATGGGAATAGGAGGATTATAATCCATTATTCTGTTTGTTTGACACACGCACTATAGACCAGACACAGATACGGAGTGGAAAAAAAAACATGCCCGTCCATTGTCTCACATTCTCGTTTACTTTCTGTACGTATTTAGATGTGAGTATCACACATGGCGACTACTCCTGGCAAAGTTATTTTGTCTCCAGAAACATATTCGACTTGACAGATCACGAACAAAACCCTGCACCAGTAATGATCCCTGATTAAACAAAAAACCTAATCTACTTAATAGTTAGAGGTAATATATGTCATATGTTATATATAGGCCAATAATGCCATCTACAAAATGTCAACCACTTGTTTTATTTTTTTTAATACATAAGCTATTTGTTTACAGTTATTCTTAGTTAAGCTACTACTACACAGTTTTAGTTGCTGATGAAATTTAGTAAGAATACATACAGTTTATTTAACTTCCGTTTAAATTATCTTTACAAATCGTATGGTCCGGCTTTAAGTATCGAAAAATATGCAAATCACTTTCATTGAGGCTATAGCCTAGGCCTACTATGATTGTTATAGCGGACATCTGTGTTATAGTTAATCCCCCATATCCTTTTTATTGATAAAAATGCTCTTCAGTTTCCGATTAATGTAATCTTAATCATGGCTGGGACTTGTCTTCGCCAATAAACTAATGTGGTCTGAGAGGGTCTGCTGCGGTGATAAAGATCAGCTATGGTTTCCACTGCCCCGTGCGGGTGATAGGCCCTATCTTTCTCCTGCAGGTGTATTTACCAGTTAAAACGTGCTTAAATACAGATTTACCACAACCACAACTCCCAATGAGTGCACTCTAATCAGTTCATATTAGTTTTTCTGCACTTAGTTTACATTAGGGCCTAGTTATTAAAAAAAAAAATCAATATTGCACTAGGCTATGTTTAGTGTTTTAGGGTTGTTTTGATATTCATCTCACGACGAGAAAACGATATGAGTAGCCTAGGTCAGTGGTCAGTGAAAACGGATGTAGCGATAGATATATAAGACCGAATAAGACCGTGAGAACTTGACATTAAAGGGTTTAGGCCTATGCGTAAAATTCGAGTTATGCACGTTTCTCAATTTTAGGAGACCCTGCATTTATGCCCATCAGATGAAGACAGCTTCTCAGTAACACACACACACACACACAGTTGCCGAGTTAAGTAAGCGAGTAACATTGTTATACAAGTGGGTTATTGGTGAATTTAGCAGTTGTTGCCATGTGAAAATTCTGGGTTGGAATATTGTCGAAAAAAAGACCCATATTTTTGTCTACGGACATTCCGATGTCAAAGCAATGAGGATCTTGGCCACGGAATGTATTCCTTTGTCAGCATGTTCGTTTATGCGTTTCACTTTAGGTCAATATCCTTTATCTCCTTTGGTTGGACTAAGGATCATTATCAACATTTTCAAGATATGTTCAATAGATGTTGCCTAGACTTCATTGGAATGCAGCTCATTAAGCTATCCCGAGTGTCAACGACATATATCAATTCCAATGCCAATATAATTGATACACTGCATGCATATTAACGCTTCTGTTGTGTGTCTTAAAAGTGAATGATGTTAAACTATTGAATTGAGCAGTTAGTTATTATTCCACCAACATAGAGTAAAAAAGTTGTAGACTCCCTGAGCCCAGAGGTATGCTTTGGCATACTTTTTTTTCTCATTTCTAAAGAGACGTCCTGTCCTCACAGTTACATTGAAACTATACGGTTAATTTTTCACAGCTACAAAACATGTTGGGAGGGTTTTAGAGAACTGGAACTCTGTTGAGGAACAACTGTAATCTACCATAATAATTATTTTCAGTTCCCTTGTAAATATAAGGGTTGTTACGATTGGTTTTGATTTTAGGATAGAAAGCCTGGGGAAAGCTTTTCTGTGGGGAATGCTCTTCCCTGGGTGAAGAAAGGCTCTTTCACCGGCCCACAATGGGAGATTGAGGCAGGGGAGGAGTCCACCATGATTAGTCCATTTAATGGCGCGTTTGCTTAATTTCTGTATTCACTGGCAACCATAAACAAAAGGTGAAACTGGACTCTCGTCTAAGAGCCTATGACGTTGACATTTCCCATAACACAGGCATATATTTTAGGGGCAAAATACTTTTTGTTTAACATCTTACGTACAGCTTTGGACACGTAGGCTATAACCAATGTGTAGTTTCGTAAAAGGACCACAGCATGCGTATCAGAATCATTATGCTCGTCTGAGCATGAGCGTAACATAACCACTTCTCAACATAGGCCTACATGCTCATAAAAGCTTGATGGTGGACAATGAACACTCACTTAAAAGAGAGACTTAATGCAGAATATATAAGAAAATTGAATACTGTATTTGATTTAGAAATATACATTAACATGAACACGCAAGAAATAAACATTGAATAATAAGCGCTTTAGGTAATGCACGGGGAAATGTAGGACTTGAATTGTTGAAGAATATTCCAATGTTTATATTAAAATCATTTTGCATAAATGTGACCGATAACACGTTTATATGGCGTCATTATCCCATGTTAGGTAGCCTATCAAAACAAACAAACAAACGAAACGCCTAGAGCACTTTTTTTACGGTTTGACAAATATTTTATGTATAGGAACACCAAGTCAAGAAAAGTGAACAAGGATAGAAAAGAGAATGGAGATGGGAGAGCAATATTATGTACAAGCATATCTACACATATAGGATATTACAGACCGCGGGAGAATGATGGCATTATTTGAGATATACATAATTCAATATAAAATCTTAAAATAAAAATAAAAATCTGATACAGTCATAACGATTGGGTTCCACATTTGACCATGTAGGCCTACCCCACACAGGCAGTGACAGAAGTGTATAGTAAAAAGGTGCTTACGACGTAAATGATTGTCTGATGAACATAAAGTAAAACAGGATTGCATCTTGGCTGAGCGGCATCATCACTTGGACTAAAACAGAGATGAAAAGGCGATAAACACCCTCTGGTAATTCCCTCTTCTCGATTATCCTTGTAGAAATATTGAACAGGGTATTTTCCCCAGATACCAAAAAACATCATGCAGGTAGTGGTGGGGGTAAGGGGAAGGCTTGGTGGGTCCATTGAAAGCGCTTAAAAAAGACGTGCTTTTATCTTTTTTTTTATTTTTAAATATTTATATCAATTGGTCCTTTTTTCATCCCGATATTTCATTGTTTTTTTTTTTCAGGTCCATATTTCCTGTAAATATTTATCTTTTTTTATATCATACGTCGCACTCGGAGTCACTGGAGGTTACTGAAAGAATGGACGTTCCAGTATCAACTCGTTCTGTCATACTGGAGATGCTGGTAGTAGGACTGGCCGCGGTCGACGGCGATTCCGCCGAGCTGCGTGGGGTGCACCCGGATTCTGAAAGGGACCGCATACCGTTCTGTCCTATTCCCTGGTGCTGAAGCCTGGAGAATATAAAGAAAGGGAAAATAACATTGCAATTAAATACAGTGTCCCTCCGCAAAATAGCGTTCAGCCTGCTTGTCATTCACTCCCCGGCAAGTCTTTAACAAATGCAGCTCTCTAACCTTCACATGATGGGGGTAAGAATTGGCTAAAGCAAAGCAGATACAAATACTAAATGTGGGAAAAATATAACAGTCTATGTTAAAGTACAGGCGTGTTGTTAGCTACTTAAACCATGGCCAATGTAGTTTGAGAACTGTCTTTTATCGTAGATTTTGTCATACCCAGGCCTGTCCAAATGAATGAAAGATTACATTTGTTTTATTTATTTTTAAATTACTAAATGAATGAATCCATGACGTACTCTTTTATCACTGAGAAAATGCAGATGAAGAAATATTGCTGTGTTTTCCAGTTGGCTTGTTCAGTTCACCAATTTGTAATTAATGATTGCATTGCAAATAGATAATAGGCTATACACTGTGAATCAAAAACATGGCTGCAAAACAGGCTACAATTTTAGAATAATTATTTTGTATTTATGTTGACAGTGTGATGTATCAATCATTTCCAAACATCTATAGCCTAATGTACACATTTCGTATGTGTAAAAAGCACAACAATACAAATAAAAATTGGTAACTGAACTCATTTTTATTTAGCAAAACTACCCCATCTTATTCAGTGTTTTATGATTATTGTTTGGATGTAGGCCTATCTTAGTCTACACTGTCCCTTTACATGAATATATATGCCTATAATATTATTTCGATTAAACAAGTAACCAATAACCTACAGTATTTGATCGTAGGTGTTTTGTTTCCTGTTTGTGATCCAGATCTATACCACCCCTGCAGTGTATGTGATGTTTTCAGACAAAAACGTTCACTTGTTGAGAGAAGATAACAACACTCTCGTTGGGATTCAAGATGATAATCAGAAACGTGCGCCATTGAGGTATCATCACAATATGCTGTGTTCCAAGTTCAACAGACTTATCAATAATTATTTGCGTTATTGTCAGGAATATAGGACAAATTCAAATTGATGATTTTCTTTGTGTGTATTTCCTGTTTTGTTATCTAACGCATACCTTGATGTTTTCATTTTGCTTATCAGGGATGCTAGCATACCAGCGTAGCCTATAGCCTACACGCTTTGCATTTGGCGAGAGTTGTGTGTTTTCCGCACAAGAACGCTTACGCAAGAAAATGTTTTACGCATTAGAATATTTGTGGGATTATTTTGGAAAACAATAATAGTTATATTTTTCGGTAGCCCCTGATTGCATAGGCCTATGAGATCAAAAACTAAAATGTCGCCGTGCTCCCTCCCCACCCCTAACTATACACACAACGTGCTCATTTGTAACCCCTCTAAAACCTTGTGTATTACTACGATGAAGTTGAACATTTACATGGTATATTTGCATTTCGATTATAGGAATTATTATTGCCTATTTGGTGCTGTGTAGCCTATGCTATGACAAATGAACAGCGTACTGACCTGTTTTTTGCTGCCGCGGCTCTGTCTCGTTGCCTCCGGTTTTTAAACCAATTTCCGACCTGTGTAGGAGTGAGTCCAGTGGCTTGAGCCAGTTCCCTTTTCTTGCTGGGGTTTGGATATGGGTCCTGAAGATACCACTCCCTTAACAGACCACGCGTCCTCTCTTTGAAACAGTGCGTCTTCTGCTCGCCATCCCAGATGGTTCTGGGCAGGGGGAACTTCTTCCGTACCCTGTACTTGTCAACCGGTCCTAAGGGGCGACCGCGCAGCTTCTCGGCCTCCTGGTAGTGTGCCTCCAGCCACATGGCCTGCAGTTTGCCGTGGGAGTCCTTGGTAAACTTGTGGTTCTCCAAGATGTGGTACAGGTCTCGGAAATTCCCCGTGTGGAAAGCAACCACTGCGCGAGCTCGCAGGATCGACTCATGCTTGTTGATCTGCTCGCATGCTCCCGGTGCCACCGGCAGGGACCACAGGAATCGTCCCAACCGTTCAATGTCTCCGGTTTCCTCCAGCGTCTCGCAGACGCTCGCCACTTGCTCCGGAGAGAAGTTGAGGGTCGGTAGCGCAAACATTGACAAGTCTTCTGGAGACCTGGTGCTGGGAGTGCTGCTCGCCAAGAGCACAGGGCGCTCTGCGAAGTTTGGCAGGAAGAAATGGGAGGGATAAAGCTCTAAAGGGGATCTGAAAACCATGGAATGACCTGAGAGAGAAATAAAATTATCAAGAAAATGAACGACGAGTAAAGATTGTATGATTCAATAGCTATCGCCTATAATGACACCAGCCTCATAATATCTCCCCCTAAATCCACCGTGAGTGTAGCATTGAAACATTTTGTTTCGCTTTTCTATTGGTCTTCTTGGTGTCGTTGTGAGGTTGTCATGGCAGCCCTGCCAATCACTGTCAAGCGTGCCAATCATTAGCCGCTACGTAGACTAGGGCTTTCACCACTTCTGCTGCAAGCACGGGGGGTTATCACAAACTCCAATCTCAACACCACCCTCCCACTGCACGGCTCTCGTGAAGTAGAAGCCAACGCTCGCCTATTTGTTGAATGGAATGAGCAATTAGTGGGTGGAATATTATTGCGATCTTAACGAGGCTCGTTAAAGCTAAAGAAGATATGTAGGGTAGAGATGCTTGGGGGGGAGGGGGGTGCTTAGGGGTTTCAATCAGGCAGGAACACCGGAATACACCTTTGAAAAAATTGCTTATAACAGAGTCAATTATTTTCGCCTAGTTTTGCCGGCATCATTTAGGGCGAATAGGTTAGACGTTTTCTCAAAATAGGCTAGGCTATATTGCGCAACATATGTAAAAAAAAAATCCAAGAAAACATAATATTGACCTTTTGTTACCGTTTGATATGTCTGTCTGACTTTTACTTCCGGAGATTAATCGGGAAGTGCTATATGTCAATATTTTCGTGACAGAGTCTGGGCACTAGCTTTGCTCAGAGACCAGCAGACCGGGGTTGGTGTGGGTGTAATGAGCAGTGGCTCACCCTCTATTCGGACTTGGCCTCGGCTGGTATTACGCAGCCGTGCAACCCTGGCCCACTGCCCAGCGCGCGTGTTTCCAAACATTGTTTTCATGTCAAATGAATATCGATGCGGTGCGTTGTAATAATTAAATGCTGATCAACTGGACCATTTCAATTAAGAACGTTTTTCCAATGTTATTTTCTTTGATGCAGCTCTGTCGCTATAGGCCTAGTAGTTTTGGCGACCATGTATCAATTTCTATCATTATGGTGAGAATGATTAGTCTGCCACAATATATAGCCTACAGAAAAGTAGGCCTATAACATTTTTTCATTTTCACAAACGATTGGCATGATCAATATTCACATCTGTCACGGGATTCGGCTTAGAGCCCACATCAGTAGCCGTAGCGGTGTGGTTTTCATGTTTATTACAAAAACGACTGTACTGCCTCATATTTAGAAAGGGCTTAGTCGGTGTTAAAACTGTGTGGGTTCATAGTCGCGAACAGTGCTCACATTGTATAAGGGCATGTATAAGACGTAGTGAAACACAGCATCTAGACTTCGGCTAATCCACCCTCAATAAAGCTGACATAATTATCCTAAGCCGCCTTTCTAAATCATTAAGAAATTCAAAACTTGTCCTTCTCTTTCTCAGATTTTTGCATTCCCCGGTATCTTCCTACAGGACCGGTTCCAACATAACGCTGAGTAAGTAGCATGCACATTTGCGTATTCATTTTCATCTTATCATATTCACTTCCTATTACAATTAGTGTGAGATTTGTTCTAGTGGCTGCAGATGTAGATTTAGACATATGTATAGCTTTGCTTTGTTTTCGTGTGTGTGTGGTGTGGTGTGTGTGTGTGGGTGGTTGTGTGTGTGTGTGTGGGTGGTTGTGTTTGCACTATAGGGGTGGGGTGATGATCCTGTTGGAAGCGTTTGGGCAGGTTGTGTCTTAGGGATCAAACCTGTTTGCTCCCTTGTCATACGAAACTCAGGAGAAGTAATTCCAAGTGGCACTTGAATTGGTCCGGTTGGAAAGCTGCTTGGACTGGAAGTAACCTGCGTTATTTCCATGCTGGCTATGGTCATGTTAAAACTAACCTCCCCCCTTCTCGCTCGGCCAATATTAAGAGGAGGCTTAACTGAAAGTACTCGGAATATTCAAAGCTGCTTGTGGATCCAGGTATATGCATGGGATCCAGGTATTACGTAGAACTATGTTTTTAAGGAGATGGAGCCTAGTTGTAAGCAGCCCTCGCAGGCAATTCGAAAATCACTTAGGTGAAATGTAAAACCTGAATGGGTTTGCAAAGCCAGTGGTAAATCATTTTTTTTTACATAGCTTTTGTCTACGTTAAGCACGTAATTAACACCCCCAAACAAGTTTATTCACCTGGCCTAATTGTCTGTTTATCCTCCAGCTCCTCTCTTAACGATAACCAGCGGGAGACAAGTTACTCAATGCCGACTAACCATTAGCTCGATCTTTGTTTATTTGCCGCAGAACCCCGACTTGACAATGCAAGCAGGAGTTAGGAATAACACTAAACTGGCAGCAACAAATATTAATTAACCTTGACTCGGCGTGTTTAGTTAGCAGGGATGTATTTATTTGCGCCCATTGACTCTGAGCTCAACATTTCGAAGTTGGGCTACACATTTTTTTCAATGTTCCAAGGGGGGAAATAAACAAAGGTCTTACGTCATATTGTGAGAGGGGAAACCAAGGAAAGACGGAGGCACTCTATGAAAAGGTAAGAAAGCATTCGTTTTTATTTTCTTCCCTAACCTCGGCTCCTCAAATGATGACCAGAAAAAGCCTGCTACACCCATCCCTCGATCAACATGCGTGCGTAATGTATTTTCAGGATAATTACTGAACATAATGCAGCGAGGGTGCGTTGGCTTTCATATTTTAATTTATTTAGCTTCTGATGCATATAGACTATAAATACTTCAATAAACGATTTTGACACTGCATGGTCGAAATATGGAGATATTTTTATGACAGGGTATTGGTCACATGCTGATGTGGACAGCCACACAGTTTCTTAAAATGTTATTGACTGAACTCGCAATAGAACGCATTAGAACTTTGAGGTTACATTTTGTCAAATTTACCACAAAACTATAGCCTACGTTCTCCATCAGTCAGCCTAGTTGTTATTTTTTCTTCATATGCTCCTTTTAAAAATTATTTCACCTGCTCTTCTTCTTTTCGTCCTCCATTCCCCTTCTTCATTCTCTCTTTTTTTAATCAGGTTTAAACGGGGGATTGTCAACGATGAACTACAGGGACGGGACTATCATGTATGCATTATTTCTTGAAGGAATCCGTTTGTCCAAGTGCAGAGGGGAAATCCTTTCCGGAACCTGTAAGTTCGTTAGTCACACACTGAGCTCTGCCTCTAAAGTTGACTATTAGAATAGCCCTGGATTTGCTCCAGACGCACGCTTTGGATAATAGTGACGAGCTCACCAAAATGTCTTAGGCTATAAAATGTCGATAGATGCATGAAAAACATGAACATTTAAATTACAATGATTGATTAGGTATATTGCCATGTAATTTTAGTGTCAAATTATATAAAAAAATCTGATTACATTTGGTCTGCTGCTTTTGCATCTGCCTTCATGGAGCCGCCACGAGCACCAGCCAGTCTCCTTCAAACCCTGCACAGCAAGAGCTGCTGCAGCTGTGTGATACTGTCGGGACGGGGCGCAAATACCCCTTTTCTGTGTTTGCTTAGCACGGGCTTTCAGCCCTCTTTGCTTTGCTGGGAGTCCAAACATGGCTTATAGCGCTGGACTGGAGCATTTCTTCTTATTGATGATTCTTATGATGATTATGAAATACACAACTTTAATCAGACGTAGCCTACTTTATAACCTGAAAATATTAATTGGCTATTGTCAATACTACATTCTTTATTGGCTATTGATACAGCCTGGGTAGTATTGACTTGGCACATGGTCTTGGGAGGAATTGAGCGTTTGTCAAAGATAGCAAGAATGACAACCAGTGGGGCAGAAGAGATAATGGGATGAAGATTATACGAGATGATTAGGCCTACTCATGCAGGACGGGCGACTGGGTTTTTTGGACAACAGTTTTCTGATTATTTGTTTTAGGAAAAAGTCTAGAAATCTGCTTATTTTCAAAAAAATAAAGGTTCCTAAATGTAAACCCAGTGCAGACTAATTTTAGTTTAGAACCATCCAAACAAGTCATACATATAGACCTACTACACTAACTATTTCACCAAACCCCAAATTATTCGACTGTAAAGAGTTTTTCCCAACTTCTCCTTTTATTTTTTGTGTGGTCTCATTAAGTGGGCATCCTGCTAAGTCTGCGGGGTTATACGGGAGCTGTCCAATCAGTGTATTTGCACGGCTTGTTAGCGACAGTTAATGAGGGCGCTCCGTGCACGGAGAGAATGGCGCCTCAATGTTAGATTTACCTTGTGTCAACTCGTTACTTCTAATGAAGCCATTGGAAGCTTCTCAGTGAATGGAGCCGGGCGGCTGAAACTGCAGGCCCTCTTTCTTCCGGTTCCTCTAAGGAGGGCTTTCGCTGGACTGAACTCCATGATGCATTTATCAGATGGTGGGGGTGCTCTGAGTCATTTTAGATTGAACAAGAGAAAAGCGAAGTGTGTGTGTGCCTGTGTGTGTGTCTGTGTCTGTGTCTGTTTGTGTGAAAGAAATCACCCCGTGTAATATCGCAAGCTGATGTCGTGTAGCCTACTTGGTCAATCGGGTTTGACGTGTCAGTTTGCCTCTCCAAAAGTTCACTTAATCACCTCCACACATGCAGACGCTCTCTCTGCTTGCTTTTTGCCGGCCCCTGTGTGATTTAAGTCGAATCAACAACACGTCATTGCCTCTCAATTCAGGTAAAACGGCGCAGTTTCTCAAATGCCTTTCCAAATGTGCTTTCCCTCACTATTCCTGCCCACTGGGGCACCACTTAAAAATCAATTAGTCTTTCATTTCCTCAAGTGAATTATTCGAAACAAATTTAGGGACCTCAAGCAGGATAATAAAAAAGTTCCAATTATGTATTTGTTTATTTAACCCTTTATTTATTTACTATATTATGTATTTATTTATCCATATAAACCGATTTTTTTTCACCTCCTTAACACCTTAATTATGTGGCCTATTGTTATACATAGGAGGCCTACAGCTAACACTATCCAGTGAAATAAACACACTAACCAATCTCACATGTTCAGAGTCAAAGTTACTCGCTGGTTAGATAAATAAGAATCTGAAATGATGTAGTAATTATTACCTAATAATATTAGAGCTTTTCATTACTTTAATAATGGCAATTTTAGAGATTAATAAATCAATAATGTAGCCATGCTAGTC